TTTGCATCCATCTGAGCTCCCTGTGCTCAGACCCAACCTTTTTTTACCATTATAGCCCATTGCTCCACTACGATCTACCAATGTCCCAGAATATTATATTCAAAGTCCAAAGCATAATACACAAAGTCTTGCTTTTTCTTCCAGCCCAAATCCCATATAAATCACCCTCTTCTTCCAGATCAGTGTATATTGATAATGCTTTTAATATATATATATATATATAATAAAATTTAAGTGTAATTCGCATATGCAAATACATATTTAACATTTTATGTCATGAGAATAGCCAAACAACATAGGAAAAACTAAATTAAATTAATAATCTAAGAAAATGTTAATTTGTGAATAAAAAATTCCTCAAACATAAGAAAATGGTAAAAAAAACTAAATATGGTTAGCGAATTATTAATTCAAAATGCGACACCCTTGTTGCATGGTTATTGAATAGGGTCGTAGTGCATTTATCAAAAATCACATGATTGCATTGCTCGCACCCTCAATAGAAAATAAAAATATTTTTATTCCATTCTAAAAATTACTTCTATTAGTCTAAAGTAAATTCATTTTAAAATAAAATATTATTTATTGAAAAATGACATTTCTAAACACAAAAAGCCAAATTCCATAAATAAAGTGTGTCAAAAAAAACGAATACACCATTAGACACTTCGTATAAGTGTGGTACAAAAATGCCAGACTTTTGATTTAAATCGGCCAAGTGTTAACATGTAGTCAAGCCTCAGACATAGGGGTGGCAATTGGGACCCATAGACTCGAGTTCAGACGAGTAAATGGGACTCAGGTCCGAGTATAGGTCCAAGATTTTGACCCGGTGTGTTGCGTGCCGACCCAAGTCCGAGCTCAAAGCTTTGATTCAACTAACATTCGGGTTTGGATCCATGTGGACCCAACCTAGAACCAACATGAATTTTATTAACTTATTTGAAATATACAATTATTGTTATAATATTTAAATACGAGATAATTTATAACCCTTCGAATTGCAAATTACAAAGATTAATGTTCCATTGAGTTATGAGAGGTGGATCTACTAATTATAGTATTTTTTTTGAGTTACTTTTTATGATATATTGCTCATCCAATAAAAAGTGTTCGTGTAAATATTACTAAAAGACAATTGATATTTTTATGATCTTCATAAAAGGTAAAGTTGAAATTTTTAGTAAAAGACAAATGTACTCTATAAATAAAATTTCAAGATAAATATACTCTACAAATAAAGTTTCAAAACACTTACTTTCAAAACATCATTGTATTTTTATAAAAATTTCAAACTTTCCCTAAATCATTAAGTTACGTTGTAAAATAATTTTTTAAATAAAAAATAATGACATTTTGATAAATACATCCATCACAACTCATTCTAACATTAACTTTTGTATTTTGAGGTATTGTTAACTCTAAACAAACCCTTGAAATAATAGAGAAATTATAAACATATACCTTAATTTTTGGATTATTAAAAATAAATCCCGAACATTCCAAAACCTCATCCATACCCCTTTTTGGGTGAGTAGACGAAAATAGCCTTCACGGTAGTCTTAGAACTATGAAGGCATTACAGTTTATTGAAAACTGTGATTGTCATGACGAATTGTAAGTCAAATGCAATTTTGAAGCATCACAACACTTACAGAACTGTGATGATATATTAGACTATCGAACCCTTAACGACTATCATGGCTTTTTAAGCTGTGTGATGCCTCTTAACGACCATCATGGCTGTTTAAGTGCCATGACGCCTCAAAATATTAAAGCCCCCATGACCATCACGGTCATGAGTCTACCATGCCATGATTTCTTCACAGTCCTAAGAATTCTGTGAAGGTTATTTTGATAAAAAAATACAAAAAGTGAAGAATATTGGTACATATGAGGGTTTGAAACGTTTGGGGTTTATTTCCAATAATTCAGAAATTAAGGTATATTTTTTAAAAGTTTCTGAATAATTTATATATATATATATATATATATATATATATCTTGGGCTTCTATATGAGTAGCGTAGTCGGGACTTAAC